TAGGGCAGTTGAGGATTCCTATTTTCATTCAATGCACATGTATTTAATAACACATTATATTCCTTTTCATTTGAATTCAATTTATATAGAGAATCACACAGCTTATTTTGAAAAGGGAATGCAATGGTTAGCAAAATCTAATTTAAACTCAGAAAAAAAAAGAATATTAGAAAGAAACTTAAGCTGGTTCCACCTCGATTCTCTTTGATATAAGAGGAATGGAGGGAAAAACATGATCTGGCTTTCAAAATTCTCTTGAGTATGATATATATTAATAATGAAGCGTTCCAGTATCTTGTAAAGGAATCTGTTTCTTGGCCTGGCCTATCTCAGAGGGATGACACTAGAAATGTTTGTATTCGTGTAAATCAAATCAAATCTTTATTATGTCAATGACCAGCATAAGGAAGGCGGGTTCCAGGAAATTAAAAAGCATAAAATATACCACAGAATAAAATTGCATATAAAAACCTAAAAAGTATAAAACAAAAATCTAAAAAGAGTCTAAAAGGAGCAGTAGATGGACATAGGGGAATATGGCAAACGAAATCTATCTTCATACAGAGCACACTATAATGACAAAGCAGGTGCTCATTACCAATACATGAGAATATTTGGAGCTCAGGAATGAACTTTTGGGTTTTTGGTGCCCTCTGAGCATGGTTTGCTGCTCATTAAAACTGTTGGCGACACAGGTCATCTTCGGAGGGATTTTAAATATAGCACAGAACTGGGCAACATTGTATGTTGTAGTGGGGTGGGTATCTGAGAAGGAGACGAACTGGCCTGTGCCAGAGTAAAGGCCCTATATCAGTGTTTCTCAACCTTGGCAACTTGAAGATGTCCGGACTTCAACTCCCAGAATTCCCCAGCCAGAAGATGTCCGGACTTCAACTCCCAGAATTCCCCAGCCAGCAAATGCTGGCTGGGGAATTCTGGGAGTTGAAGTCCGGACATCTTCAAGTTGCCANAGAGGATGCCCTTGATGAAGCCATTCTTATTACCAGCCCTTCGTGGTATTGGACCTGGGTACTTGAGAGACCGCCTGCTGCCAATTACCTCCACTCGACCGATTAGATCCCACAGATTAGGCCTCCTCCGAATTCCATCCGCCGGCCAGTGTCGACTGGCGACTACCCGGAGGAGAGCCTTCTCTGTGGCTGCTCTGACCCTCTGGAACTGCTGTGTGTTTTAAACCATGTATTGTTTTGTGTCGTTTTTAATTTTGTCTGTATCCCCCCCCCTTCCCTGGTTTGAGTTGTGAGCCGCCCTGAGTCCCCTTCAGGGGAAAAGGGTGGCATATAAATAAAATCAACATTCAAAAAATAAAAATCAACATTCAGCAGGAAAAAAATGCTTTTTTTCTAAATGTTTCCCACCCTCCCTCTCCGTGCCATTCTCCAGCTAGGAAAGAAGATAGATGGCAGCTCAGCTCCCATCTTGTTCCCACCAATAGTGACAGAAATCTAATATTGTACAATACAGGAGTTCCTAAACTCTGCCTATTCTAATATATTTGGTTTGCCTCTTACTATTATAATTATATATTGGATATTATAATTTGATAAATATCACTTCAACGTTCTTGCTGCAGTGCTTTAAATAATATCCATTCTGGGTCTGGCTTTTTGTAAAGCTTTCATTGCAAAAGATTTTTAAAAAGTTTTATTAATTTTGTATAGTGCAACATTTTTTGCCAAAGTGCAAAACATAAAATTGTTTTATTTTCATTTTCAGAAAGCTGATGTTTACATATGAGTTATGAGTCAACAGCTTTTCTACTCTTGCAACATTATCCTTATTTTCATGTTTAATCTTTCTCCTTATGCAGGAACATATTTAATTTTTGCTGAAATCAGTTGAGGGAAATCAGTAGGAAGGGGGCATTTCAGAGCTGATTGACTGTCGCATTTGAACAATGACAGCTACAGTTCTTCCTCAAAGCAGCAGAAGGTACCAATTTTTTTGAAAAATCACCCAAACAGAGAAAGGGTTGGGGGAGTGCCAGGGACATGAGAGATAGGATCTTCCTTTTTAGATATTTAATGTAGTTCAAGAATATTTTTTCATTGGTCAGATTTTCCTCTTGCCTGTCCCCCTTTAGAAAATGAAAATTCTTGTGTTTTAGCACTGTATTTCAGCTGGGCCTATATTAACTCTAGATGGAATTGATTGATGCTACTGCTGTTGTTTACTCTTTACTATTGTTGTTGTTGTTGGTGGATGGTGGTGTGTGTGTGTGTGTGTGTGTGTGTGTGTGTGTATTAAGTTTGCATAGCTGTTTTTGTTTCATGCACTGCATTTTTTCTATTCTGCATACCAGAGTAGAAGAGCATGTTATACATTTACATGCTCTGTGGCATCATATCTAGTGGAAAAGCTAACAAAGCGACTTTTTTGGGGGGGGCTTGCTTTTGTCTTTGTTTAGCCTCAACACTAGGACGGAATGAATATTTGTGAGGTGCTTCAATGTGCCTCTGTGAGTGACCAGCTTCCAACATAACAATGAGCTTATAAAAATGCTTGCATTTCCCTGTAGTGGAACCTGCTGCATTCAGAGAAGCTGCTCAGGCAGCTGGAGACTCCAAGGCACGGGTGTCACTCAGCAAGGAGCTGAAGATGTCACAGTTGTAAATCCTTTGAGGGAACACGCGTCACGCGTCACGCTCTGCTACCAGATGCAGGCGAGCCTATCCTTCCCCATGGCTTCCCCTCAGCCTACTGACCAGCAAGATTGCATCATCCCCTGAGCCTCAGCCTAGGAGTGTTAATCCCCCAGTGGGTGGAATCTGGTGTCTTGTTGGGTAACCTGACCGACTCTGTAGCTTCCCTCTTCTTGGTGTCTGTAATAGGCTCGTTCTTGGGACTCAGGGGACTTTTAAACAGAAGGAGAAAGCATCCTTTCAGCAGGTTGGCTCTCTAGCGAGATCAGTCACTAGAATGCCTGGAGATATAGATGCTTTTCAAGGGGTGGTATTTGCCATCCGCCTTTTCCTTGCTTCCTTGTGGCTGTGTGTTGTCACAATGACAAATGAGAGAGAGGAGAGAAGCAGTTCTTTACACTGACCAAGCGTGCTTTGGGCCCCTCGGGGGCTTCGCAAAATACTGCAAAGCAGCAGCTGATAAAATGGACGCAAATTTAATTAGGGAAATTTAATTTAGAGGGGGGGGAAAAAGCAAGGGATGGTTTTGCCAAAGCCATATGGGGAAGCAGTGGTGTCCCTATATAGGAGAAAAGAAAAACTTAATTTACAGAATGAACTGGTGGGTCTTCATCATTCTGTAGCCACCCAGGAAGTGGTCCTGATTAATTTTATACACAGCATGGCAGGCACAGGTATAAGGGCATACAATTGGGCATCTCTGGCAAAGGGAGGTGTTAATTTCAATCTAAATACGAAAACCCAATCCAGGAAAGTGGGATGGGAGGCAGAAAGCATGGTTCTTTTAAGACTGTTCTATAAAGCAGTGAGGGAGCCAGTTCAGAATTTATGCTAGTCTGCTAATTGAAGGATACTTTGCTAATGGCTTTAGAAGTAGCTTAGAAAAATGGTTAAGAGGCAGGCTTGGTTTATAAGGATTTCAAGCAATTAATGATTGTTACAACCCTATAGAACAGCTTCCTTGATACAAGAGAATTGCCCTTCCTTTTCATAAATCTATATTTTAGCTGATGTTCTTACAACTAGATAAAACCCTCAAATATATATGTGACCATTTCAATATTTCATTTAATTTAAATTACAGTTCAATAACTGTAATTTAAACAGAATTAAATATGGATGTGATTGCATTTCTCCTTCAACTTCCCTAACTATCTGTGAATTCTTTTTCTCAGTAAAAGAAAAGAAAAGAAAAGAAAAGGTAGGATTAGATTGTACTCGCTTTAGTGCAGTTTGGTATTTATTCACAAAATATTGTTTCCATTATTTTATGAAACTGAAGTCGTTTTGCCTAGGAGATTCCATTCCTGCAAAAGCTTTCATGCTGTTTTAGTCCATCTTTTTCACTGTTATTGCTATAAGAAACATTGAACAGCTATCCTCTGCATTAAACATTGCCGATGGTGACCATGAAGCAAATCTATGAGGCTGTGTAGAACTTCGGCATTCTGCAATCCTATTATCTATTTGTAGAGTGCTTGAAGTCATTAAAACACTCCATTTGCATTAACATCCTAAGAGTTCCTAAAAACCTTAGGAATATTCATGACTTAGAATGCTTGCAGTGGCAGATGAGGGAAACCAAAAAATCCCCTTGAGATCATCTAATTGTAAGAGCTTTCAGTAACATCTGGTATCTGTTCTATGGAGTCACATGCTTCCGTCATCTTCTAAAAAAACTGAAAACTATTTCTGTACTTTTCTCCCACTTTTAAATCCTATGTCAAAATGAACAGTTTCAATAAAAAAAAACCTGCAGTATCGTTGCCAGTAGGTCCCAGTAGGGGATGCTGTGGCTCAGTGGCTAAGACGCTGAGCTTGTCAATCAGAAAGGTTGGCAGTTCAGTGGTTCAAATCCCTAGCGCTGCGTAACGGAGTGAGCTCCCGTTATTTGTCCCAGCTTCTGCCAACCTCGCCATTCGAAAGCACATAAAAATGCAAGTAGAAAAATAGGAACCACCTTTGGTGGGAAGGTACAGTAATAGCGTTCCATGCGCCTTCAGTGTTTAGTCAGGCCAGCCACATGACCACAGAGACATCTTTGGATAGCGCTGGTTCTTCCGCTTTGAAACGGAGATGAGCACCACCCTCTAGAGTCGGGAACAACTAGCACATGTGTGCGAGGGGATCCTTTACCTTTATCATTGCCAGTATCGTTTTTCACTCCAAAATAAAGTTTTAAAAATAATCATACCACTCTATTTCAAAGAAGGAATTATTAATGTCTCATTAATACTCATGCTAACTTTCAGTTTTNCTTCAAAATCAGGGTGCATCTTATACTCTTATAGTCCGAAAAATACGGTCCCTCTATGCCTGAACTCAGTAGACCCTAGCTTACTTTTTCGTACCTCTTACCTTTGGGTCAAAAGGCAGAAACTCAACCATTAGGTCCTCAAATAATTCTTTTTCGAAGGGTCTCTCTCTCCGGGGAGTGGCCCTCTGCCAGTTGCCCACCAAGACGGGGATTTTACTTCCAGATGGGACCTTTAGCGGCTTCCTTCTAATGTCCTTTAGGTTTTTCAGCGCCTCCCATGCTAGTTCCGATTCTGGCAAAGTGTCCAACGATAGCATGGAACACGACTCGACGTCCCCCAAGCTCTGGGACAGCAGAGAGGCCTGGGAGCTCGTGCAGCACACGGTAGGCATGCTCTGCGACTTGTCCCGGCAGAGGGGGAAGACAGGGGACCCCAGCCGTCTCGGTGTCCGGCACACCCACTCATAAGTGTTGTCGTCCACCCTCAGCCCGTGACAGCTGCGACATTGGCGGTTCCGACACGGGGTGCCCGGCTGGCTGCTGTCAGGGGCGTCAGCCCAGCACTCATATTCAGAGAGGGCCATATCGTCCTGCAGGAGGCGCTGGTACTGCACATGTGGCAAATCCGCGATGCTGGCTGAGATCTCTTGGCCCGTGTAGGACACAGAGGCCTCATTATCTGGAAACCGCCGCATGTAGATGTGGCGCAGCGAGCGGACCAACTGGTCTTTCTCCAAAAGCAGGCGCTGGAGGCTCTCAATGGAGAGTGCTTGAATCCGGGCGATGACCGTGTCAAAATTATATACCCGCGCCAAGGTGTGGGCACATTTCCCACACAGGAATTCTCCGCGCCCATCTCCACGCTGGGGAAGCTCTCGGTCGAGAACATAGGAGAGTATCACCAGCAGGTCGGGGCGCGAGCTGGAACTGTTCCGGCTGAATAGCCACCGCCGATGATTCCCACGCAGCACGCTGCCACAAAGACGGCAGAAGTTGTTGGGGCTCTCCATGATTTCAGAAACACTGGAAGTGGAACAGAAAAGAACCTTTTATTTCAAATTTTTCTCAGGCTTCCATGGACGCAGTCAAAAAAGGGCCTTTTCATGAGGCAACCAGACTTCCTTGTTTTTTCTTTGAAGACATTTCACTTCTCATCCAAGGAGCTTCTTCAGCTCTGACTGGATGGTGGGGGAAAGGAAGGATTTACCATATTTTGGGGAGTATAAGATGTACCTTTCCCCCCTCCCCCCCCCAAAAAGAGGGAGAAAATCTGGGTGAGTTTTATACACTGAATACAGCATTTTTTGGCTTCCCCAAACCTCACCCCCTTCACAAAATGGACATGCAGAGGGCTTGGGAGGCCTGCAAAGTGCTCTTGGGGGCTGGGGAGGGCAAAAATAAGCAAAAAATGGGCTGGTTTTTGCTCTTTTCT